TTCTACACAAAAGCTGCCACAGAATCCTCACTATTCAACTCTCTCTCTTTTGACTTTTTATTCCTCCCTCCCTATTCTGTTTCCTCACCTTTTACCCATGTCTCCTTAATTTCTTCTATTCTAATTCCTTCTGGCCCTTCCTTCTTTTTATTGCTTTCAACTACTTTCTTTAAGAGACATTCAAGAATTTTCATAAATCTTTTATTTTCTATTGCTACTAGCTCCTTCCACATCCTTTATCAGTCTTTCCACTTCACTTAATTTTTTTCCTTTTAGACTTAGTTTCTTCTCCCTTTTTTGTAGAAACGTTTTTAAATCATTTGGATCTTTCACTTTGCATCCCAACTTCTGCAAAAAAGCTGCCACGGAATCCTCACTATTCAACTCTCTCTCTTTTAACTTTTTATTCCTCCTTCCCTGTTCTGTTTCCTCACCTTTTACCCCAGTCTCCTTAATTTCTTCTATTCTAATTCCTTCTGGCCCTTCCTTCTGTTTATTGCTTTCAACTACTTCCTTTAAGAGACATTCAAGAATTTTCATAAATCTTTTATTTCCTATTGCTTCTTCCTCATTTCCTATCTCACTCACCTAACCCTCCCTGTCTTTACTGCTATCTCTTGCCCTTTCCCCAACTTCATGGGTAACAACCTCTGGAATACTTGAAGCAGAGCCAGTCAGACCCCAAGGTTGAAAATGAGGTTCTTCTAACTCCTTGGTTCGGTTCTGGTAAGAAGGCCTTTCCGTCTCCTTTGTTGAATAGAGATCACTTCTCTCACCCTCCTGTTTGTTTCTCTCTTTTGTACCTCTATTTTGCTTCTAGAAAATCTGGAATACTTCATTATCCAGTTCCTGACCGACCAAAAGATTGGGATAAGCGTCTCCTGAGAATGAGACAAGCTTATCACTGACAGCAATAGGGAGATTGAAACAGCTTGCACATATTGAAACAGAGATTCCAAGTTAAGAGTTGCGGTGATCTCTTCTTCTACACCTTTACCAAACTTAGCACTGCCTATACTCGACTTGCTTTCCAAATCTTCCTCCGTGTCTGCATCTTCGGTACAGTCCACCTAGCCTTCTTCAAAACCCTCCTTCTCCACATTGCAATCTCTGGCATACCTGGGATTTGGCCGATCGGGTGAAGATCTCCCTGCCCTAGGATCGTTCGATGTTATGCGAGAAATCCATTATAATGGACTCGAGTTCTATACCGACCTTCTAGGGGAAGTCGTACCTTCTCTGCTAGCCTTCTTCAAAGAGAAAGAAAATAGACGGTTACTATCGTCTATTGTCTTCCGCTGCAAACACCGAGTCACATGCGCACTTAGGCAAGCACGTGGGTTAGGGTTCCACTCAAGAGTTGAACTGGTCTGACCTCCTACCGGTTTAGATGCTTCAACTCACGGCCCAGGTCTTGTTTTAATCACATCAACAAAAGTAGGGCGGCCTTTTGAGGTTACGACTAAATCAAAATTATTTAAATTTTTTTCCTTAATTAACTTGCGTGACTTTTGGGCTTCCCCCATCAACTTTTCAGTTGACCACTAGTTTCTAACTCTATTTCCACCTATAAGCCCCTAATAATCCAGCCTTCCACATCAGCATCGTCTTCAACCTTGGAGCTCTATCCCTAAAGCTCTACCTCCAGCTCTGAAACTAGCCATATTTTATAGCAGCTTCCATCCGCAAGAACCTCTATTGTTCTTGGAATCGAATCAGGCTTCACCCCAACTATCCTCACCTTGGCAGCTTGAAAGTTTTGCAACAGACAATCCTCCATTTCTCCTCCCAAGAGCCTCACGATATTTCTCACATTTACTTCTTTACAGAGATGAAACGGAAGACCCACCAGTTTGAACAAGAAGCTTCCGCCAGGTTGTTCCATCTCATTACATAATGGCTTCCACTTTTGCACTTGAACCATGCCTTCTTCACATTCGGAAGCAGTAAAACCCTTGCCAACCTTATCATTGATTCTTAAAATTTCCTTCCTTGCTGAAAAGGGTTTCAACGCAGCCTCAACCTCCAAGTTCAGATTAATCACAACTGAATCTAAAACCTTCCTCCAATCTTTTATCTCCTTGTTAACTGATATCACCAAGCTACATTCCCAATCACCTTGTTCAGCATCTAGCCACAACTTCAAAACAGTATTGGAACTCAATATAACCTCTCCTACATTGTAATATTTCTGCTTCAAGTGCTACTCCGAATATTTCAGAGTTGCGAAACTTTGTTCTCTCCCCTGCTTCTCATGCATGTTCACAGAGATGAGAAAATGTTGCAGCTCCCTTATGAAAGCCTTCCAACCTTGTGTCTTCTTCCCTTCTGGCAAGAAGACCATTGGTTTCCTGGCACTGAAGTATTCTGAAATCGTAATAAACCATCCTTTTCCATTGCGCCTTAGCTCCACTTTGAACCTCTTTCTTTCCATTTCTAGTGCATTCCTCCAACTAACTGTTCTAACCGATTGTATTACACCATCAATAAAACCCTTCAACCATAGAACCGCCTCTTTGAATGATAATATCATCGCCTTCCTGTCTTCCCTAATTTTTATCAAGTTCTTGCCTCTAAGTCTTCCACTCTCCAGTAATAGTTTCTTTGCTTCAGTGTTTAAAATCGATTTCCAACTATTTACCATCCGGAAACCTTCTTCGGATCTTTTCTCCATCTTTGACGTTGTTCGCCTTCTTCACAACTTGACATCATGTATTTCTTTCATGATACTCTGTGGACTTTTGAGGAATACTTCTACATGATGTTTTCCTCTCCCATTGCTTGTTTGACATAAATGCAATGACAGAACAGGATTGGGGGAGTGGAGTCCAATTGGGGGAAATAGATTTTTTGACAACCCAACAAACCAAAAAATGCAATGAACTTTTTGAAAATGAAGATTGTTTGATAACTATCTTGATCTTTCAAGCTGTTAAAAATAGATTTAAAAGATTTTTGAGACACAAAACTACAAAAGTCCAAAATTTTCATTTGAAATTTCCTAATTTTCAGCCATTTTGGTATTTTTGGGCACTTATCCTTAGGTCATTTTATCTTTCTAGAAAGGGAAAATTCCACTTTAGTACTCTGAACTTTCATTGCAGTAACCAAACTTTTAAAAAGTGTCAAGTTTGTCCCTGTTATTAACTGACCATCAGTTATCTATTGAAAATATCAAAACTATCCTTTAAAAGAAAACAATGTTCATTGTCTTCTACCTTGAGACTAAATCGGTTGAGGTGTTTGAAATTCTAGACTAATGAAGTCATTGTCTTCTACCTTTAGATAAGAAACACATTATTTTCTAGTTATTTCTTTGCTTTCATTTATTGTTTCCCTCTATTATATTTCTTTTTTCTTCTCTCTTTTTTTTTTAAGATAACCGGTTTAGTCTCAAGGTAGAAGACAATGAACAATGTCTTCTTTTGAAGGGTAGTTTTGATATTTTCAATAGATAAGTAACGGTCGGTTAACAGTAGGAACCAACTTGACACTTTTTGAAAGTTTAGGTACTACAGTGACACGTTTGAAAGTTTGGGTACTAACTTGACACTACTCTGAAAGTTCAGGGTACTAAAGTGGAATTTTTCCTTCTAGAAAAGACAAAAATTGATAGTTAAGGCCTCGTTTGGCATGTCTTTTCGTGCGGGCTGTCAGCCTTTTAGAAGCCTGGCAACCCACATTTTGATCTTTTCTCATTTGGTTGGGAAAAGATATAGCCGCCGAAAGCTGCAGCTCCAAAAAGACACGGGAAGCCCATTTCGGGCTATTTTTTGGAAGCTGCAAATGGAGCTTTTTCCCTTTCTTTCAACTCATCTTTGCGCAAACATATACTCATTAACCAAATGGTCTTCAAGTTGTTAAGATCTTTATACAAAAGCTTACATCGTCTTTTGACTATCAATGCTTCTAGAAAATCTTTCAAAAAAGACTTGCCAAACAGCCCCTAAATCTTTCAAATAATCAAAGGACTGTGCGAAAATACTTGCCAAAAAGCACCCATGTTCTCACCTGTTAAATTCACATTCATGCATGATTTTCAAAACTGGATTGGACCGGATGATCGGACCCCAAAACCCGATTTTTGCCAAAAACATTGATTTGGTTAGCAAACCGCTGACATAGGTGGTTGAACCATTCAAACTGTTCAATAGTTTTGACTGTTTTTTATTTTTTAAATTTTTTTATTTTTGTCTGAACAGGTTGACTGTTCATTTTAAATGATCGAACTGTTTGACTTAGAACAGACCCCTGACCAGTTCATTGTTCGGATCAGTTTTAAAAACCTTGCATTGATATACAGAAACATTTGCAATTCAACAAGGTCAAGTGTCGCAAAGATATCGCATAAGCAGCCCCTAAAAAACCGTCAAAATTTATAACATTAATGGATGTTGGTGCCAACGCCCAAGCAGGCTAACCCACTAAAGAGGTTCAATATTTGACTTAATACCCAGACGACCTTGTGAAACCTCTTAATCATTCTTCAAACTCAAGGTTTAACCAACTCGAAAACTAACTATTTTGGCCTCCGGTTTCCAGGTCAGAACGGTTTAGCCCATGGTTCTGTGTTTCTTAGTTATTCGTCATCTTCAAGCACCATCCTCTTGGAAGAGAAATTGACGAGAATACAATTTTGTGTGAAATCCAAGTATGCCTCTACTTGAGGCAGAAGCACTACCGAGCAATTCAAGATATATCAATCTAATCTACCTTCTGCACAAGTTTACAAGGGTGATCGACCGGATGAACCTCGATTAATAACTCACCCATCAAAATGGCAAAAGCGATATGACAGGGAAAAAAATACAAAAAGACTTCGAAATCCAAGACGTAAAACAGTAAACAGGGTAACTCTTGAGAGATCTTCGTATCCAGCATTTTGATAAAATGATTGGGTGAGGCAGGCATTAATTAAATATGATTACACTCAAACATCCCCAAAACTTGCAACAAGAAGTCAGTTCATGCTTTCCAAAATTAAAATATGGTAAGTTTGTAGGAAGATCTTATGGGTGGTCTCCCCTTTCGCCAAATAGAATCTTACTATACTTCGTTTTACATATATTAATTATAATCCCAGAAAAAAAAAGTGTATTCTTTTTATTGCATGAAACTATTGTCACTACTCTATCCCGTTCTTCTCTGACCACTTCTCTCTATGGAAAGACCAGTGAGAGAGTTGATATTTTTTATTCAATCTCTCTCCCATGAGCTGCGAAACAAACCCAGAACCCAAAACCGCTTCCCCCTCCTCTGCTCTGTTCCAGCATGTGTGTTTTATCGAGACCGGGGTTTTAGGTTGGGTTCTGTTTTTTGGTTTGGGTTTATCAGACGACGGAGGAGGAGGGGTCTTCTTATTATCACTGTTCTGGTCGCTGTTGTTATATAGTTTTAGGTTGGGTTCTATGTTTTGGTTTGGGTTATCAGACGACGGAGGAGGAGGGGTTCTATTTAGTTTTACGTTACACAATTATATGAGCCGGGAGGCGGCGAAATCGTCAAAATCAATCAGTTTGGCGAAATTAATACTTGGCTTGGCAAAGAAAGAGAAAGGAAAAGATCTGAAGGTAGCTTTTTTTGTTGAAATCTTGTTTTTTGTTTGCTACGAGTATGTGTGTTTTTTAGGTACTACGTTTACCCGCCTCGTATATCTATTGCTGGTTTTATTTTTGGTGATTTTGAAAGGTCGGAGTGGTCGGTAGGTAAGTACTAGTGGTTCTTTCTTTGCATTTTTTTCCTGTCTGTGATTGTTTATTTTTGATGTCGTGAGTTGTAGAGATATAGTTCTCTTCAATGCCGTGAGTTTAGATTTTTTTTTGGACAGGGTTAGATCTCTTTCCCATACGCCTGAAACGTCACAAACTTACAGAGACTTCATAGCTTCAGATTTGGCTCATTTACGGAGAATGTCGCAAATCAATTAAGACTGTAAGGATGCTAAATCGGAGAGGCCGAGGAAGGGATGGCGGCTTCGGAATGGAGAATACGCTAAGCTCTGCGATCGATGCGCGTAAGCAATTTTATTTCATCTCTATTTTTCTGTATTCGTTTCGATTTCGGCTGTTAATTTGGAGTTTGGTGGATCGGGTTGCCTAGGATTTTTATTTGTTTTTGAAGCTTTGATGAATTTCTATGTGCTGATTAAGTGGATTCTTCCGCTGTTTTGGGATTATGTTTAAGCTGACTACAATTGTTTGAAGTGAAAATTCGACTTTACTTTTTTTTACTGGAGATGGAAGTCCTTTTGGGTTTGAATGTTCGGATTTGCGTTAATTAGTGGCCGTAGTTGGTTTTAGTCCCTTCCGAGTGCATTACTTTTTGCTAGAAAATTTGCTTTTTTGGGGTTTATGTTTGTAAAATGGAGCCTGCCTTTTTCCCTTCTTCATCTTCAAGTTCTGACCTCCTTAGTAAATTGCTTTTGTACTCTGTCACATTCTGTAGGTGTATTTTAGAAGGTACCTGTTATTGGTCCGAAAGTGTTGTGCTTAGTTCTATTGTGATTTGTGAATTATGTTTTGTTCTCCATTGCCACCATTGTTTTCTTATGTTTCAATTGTTGGCTCCCATGCATTATTTGTTCTGGCACTCAAGTTTAACTGATATTYATATAACTTCTACTATTATCTGGAATGGTCATGGACATTACATAAATCTGTCTCTTCTAATTTTTTTCCCATTGACCTGGCCTTTGCATTTCGCTTCATCATTTGCAGGGTTTGCCTTGAGGCTCAGAATTTTGGTGTTTGATTTGTTTGTAGGGTTAAAATGACTCTGTCTTTCATTATGGAGAAAACGCAAACATTACTTGACCATTCCTTCTTTTAAACTTTCTGACCTGCAATAAGCAGTAGGCTTACCCTTTAAGCCCATTAATTTACTACTTCCTCACCCCAACTATCAAAGTTTATTCTTTATGTAATCTTTCCGCACAAAAGAGGCAAATAGTCCTGCCTAATGTAATTCATAACTAAACTCGGGATCAGTTTATGCCCTGCATCCTTTGATTCAGTGTTTTGGTTGCATAAGGATTTGTGTTGGGAGAGGGTTTGTATGAATTGGATCCGATTGATTTCAGTTTGGATTAGGATCTTAATTACTGCTGGTGTTGTTGTTAGTAATTTTAATGATGGTGGTAGATATTAGGGTGCGATTAAAGTCAAAATTCCCTATCCAGATCCAGTAATTGATTGTATTCTGCCCTTGTTGGTTGCAGAATCCGTTCCAGTTCTAGGTGCTTTCTAGTGATTATTGTAAGGGTTTCTTCACCACCGATTCATCAAGACGATCAGGAGAGGGGTAGCACTATTTCCAAGGAAAAATACCAGCTCAGTTGGTGAACTATTCTCTCTCAACTCTCTCTCCCTCTCAACTTCTTACTTTTTTTATTCACTTATTTAGGTTTTTGTTTCAGATTTGGTTCGTCGTCATTTTTCTAAGGTTTATTTTCCATTGAGAACGGCAAGAGAATGTGATTTGTATCAGGTTTTATAGTTTAGAATTTATAGAATAGCTGTGTTTTTTTTTTTTTTTTTTGAGTAAATGATACTCTAGAGTTTGGTTGGTGGCCATGGACGCCTCTTGATTTTACCTTCCTTGACTTAAGTTGTTTTATAGATTTCTTGTGATTTGGGTTCTTCATTCTTCTTTTTATTTATTTTGTTTAACATCTATCTTGATTTTTAGTTTTCTTAGATAGAGGTACACATTTTTTTCCGTTTTCTTTTTTCTACTTAATTTTGTTGAGACAACACTTTTGTACAATTAATTAGTTCCTTGTGAGATTGTTCTAGGGTTTATTGAAATTGAAATCCTGTTGTAGATTGTATAGATGGTTGATTATAATCATATTATGAATATATGTTATTCTAGAGATTAAATAAATCACAAAATTATTTTTATTCGCCTCTGGTATATAAGTAATTATACAATAAATGTAAGATCATACAATCAGGTTTAACTTAAGTTAATTAACCCACAAAGGTCTTTAATGTGAAAATTTAAAAAAAAATTGCCATATTGGCATCCTCCCAAGGTGTGAAGGATGTGTCTCAATTAGTTAATTAACCCACAACCTTTCTCTACTGCACAAGGTTTTAAAAACCAACCCAGAAATGGAACCGTTCTAGCTACTGGTTTCCGGGTTAGCGGTTCAACCGTTCGGGTCGAACGGTTTGGACGGTTTGCATATTAGAGCAAATGTTTATATGAGATTTGCCCTAATATGCAAATCTCATGTAAGAAAGAAGAGATGTCGGCTGAGAAAAGCCAAGTTCGGCTGAGAAAGAAAAAAATAAAGAAGGAAAGAGAGGAGGGAAGAAGGAAGAGGAGGAAGAGGATTCGATGCTCACCGGCAACGATAGTGGTGACGGCAATGGCGAGGCAGCAGCAACAGATGCAGATCTGAGATCTGAGTTCTCGGATCTTAAATCTGAGATCTGAGTTCTCGGATCTTAGATCTCATATCTGAGTTCTCGAATCTTAGATCTCATATCTGAGTTCTCGAATCTTAGATCTCATATCTGAGTTCGTGTCTCAGACTGGATCTCAGATCTAGGAATGGCAACAGGGCGGGGTGGGGACAAGGTTATCCCCATCCCCATCTCCGCAGGGATTCCCATTCCCCATGATTTTTTATAATATTAACCATTTTGTTTTTATTTTTTATTTTATTTAAAAAAATAAAAATAAAATAATTAAAATTTGCAATCCTATTATAAAAGATTCAAATATATTCAACCATATTTTTAAATATATTAATATATAGATGTATGTGTACATACATACATATATAACGTATGCATACATATGTAACATATATATTAGTGAGGATCCCACGGGGCGGGGATCGGGGTCCCCGTGGAACGGGGAGTGCTCTCCCCGTCCCCGCTAACGGGGATGAAAATTTCCTCATCCCCATCCCCGCCCCATTCGGGGTGGATCCCCACAGGGATCGAGGAAATGGGGAAAATTGTCATCCCTACTCAGATCTGAGTTCTCTCTACATCTTTATATTGTGAACTGCTGGTCGGGTCAAACGAGTAGATGGTTTGACTGCTGAGTCAGCAGTTTTCTGACAAAGTCAACGGTTTTTGACCCAAAAACGGGTTAGGGGTTAAACGGAATTGATTGCTTGGACGGTTTCCAGGCCAAACAGTCTGACCGTCCGGGTCAACGACGATTCAAAAACATTGCTACTGCAAGTTTCATCTGTCCCAACAAAATCTTTTCAATCCAAACTACACGCAAAAAGATTGAGACCCACCTCAACTTATCCTACCAGACTACTATTCAACTAACTGCTTCATTGAAATGTGGTAGGTCTGATAAGGCTACTGAACTATGGACATCTGAAGGAGCTCCATAGAACTATTAAGCTATATGAGCAAGCTATAGTTTCAGTTGACCCTACTGTTACCTCTTTAGGAAGCTAATAGGTCAGTGATCTTCATGTTTTGGGAATATGTCTCTGCCTCAGCTGTCATTTGACATCTTGGTTCTTGGTTATGTTTTACCCAAAAAAGTGCATCAATGAAATTATCCAAAAATTTTTGCAGCAGTTCTATCATCATATAGTCTTTTTCTTTCTTTTTTCTTGTTGGTAAGCATAACCTCATCTGTAATTACAAAACGCAAAATCATTATGATTTGTTCCTTTCTTGCCTTTCACACACACTTGAACTTATAATTGGATCAGTACATGAAAGCGTGTACAATATCTTAGTATTGTGGCCAGTCTATTTATCTGGTAATTTAATCGAATTGATCCTTCAGAAAATAAGGTAAGAAATTTCCATTTTGTTCCTTAAATAAGAAGTAAGGTTTGGATTAACCATCTTTATATTATGTATGCTTATGGGTGCCTGGTAAAAATTTTGTTAGAGGCAATAAAAGTTTTGTATTGATTTTATTAGAAGAACACCTCTTTATATATAACCTATTTTTTCTTTATTCTATATTGTTTCTATTACGAAGAATCAAGAAATGGGAGTCAATGTAATTGCTATCAATTCACTGGAGGAGACACAACATTGAGAGAATTGAGGAAGATCTTAGCTTCAGCATGTGCAAAAAACTTGTGGGGATAAATCTGAATCTTGTCTATATTATGAGTTACTTTTATCACTATGATTAAAAGGATTGTCTTAGATAATCTGCAAATATGCAGAGGAAGTTGTAGCATTACCCCAGATAAAAGAAATTAATACTAAACTGTCCTTAAAACATGTAGAAAACATAGAACTAATGTTCTCTCACAATGATAATTCATCTCTATTATTTATCAAAAAAAATGATAATTCATCTCTATATTGGGATTCTAGATTGTTCATATTCGGAGGCTTCAAGGCATTGCAATTAAACATTTTATTTTCATTGATAAAGAAATGAACATTTTATTTTCAAAATTATTAAGAAGACAACTATATATTYTAACAAATTTTCTCAGAAAGTCATTAGGAGTTTACGACCTTGAACAGGATATGCCAAGCCATAAAATCTTTTATCTTAATATTCAAACGAATAGCCATGTCTACTGATGGCAATTGGCTAATAAGGTTTGCCAAATTATTATATTTTTTTATATGTATTGCCAAATTATCTTCATTCTTATGGGTTGTATTTGCTTGCATTGATAACTCTAATGCGTGGCTCATATTTGGTTATCTGCTTGGGCTTGGTTCATGCTTCTATTGATAACTCTAATGAAGTATATATAACTGATGGATATATACATCATTGAACAACTTGTATGCCTTGGTGATTAATTTTGCATCTTATATTTCAGAATTTAGTATCTTGATTTTGAAACTAATATACAGATGATGAAAGGGAACATTTGGGTAGTTCCAAACAATAAGGATTTTGGACGAAGCATGAGACTTATCCTTGAGTTTCAACTCCAACCATCTATAGGAGGAGGCATCTTTGAACCAGGTGGATCATCAGAGCACCTACCTTCAGAATTCAGAGGCCTTCAAGTTATATTTGCTGATTATGATGACATCAATAGGGCTGTGACATGAAAGCTCCTTGAGAAGCTCGTTTGTCAATTTACTATTGTTTCCTCTGGGTTTGAATGCCTTAGTGCTCTTGGGCCCTCTGGAACTTCATTTCACATCATTCTTTTGGACCTCAATGTGCCCGAGATGGATGGCTTTGAAGTTGCAACTAGAGTCCCAAAGTTCCAAAGCCGGAGCTGGCTATTGATTAGGTCACATATGAAAAAACTCTAATATACAGGTTACATATGACAATCTTCCATATGCTCCTCTACAGAAATCATGTTGTCTTGTCGCATTTTATTTTAGAAGTTATTTTAAATAATTTTCATTTTTCCATTAAGATTTGTTCAAATTGGTTGTACTTAGATATCTTACTCAAGTATGACCCGGAACATGATACGATTTCTTCTATAATAATGTTGGTTGATGTAATGATGTTTTTGGGAAAATTCCATTTTTATTTTTTAAATGTTTCTTTTATTTACAAAAAATAATTTTATATTAGATTTTAGTTTTAGTTTATTTTTGTTCTACTTTTACAGTTTAAACTTTTAATAGTTTTACTAGTCAATAATAATTATTTAAAAACTTACATTCAGTTAAATTAATTAATTAATTACTTCCATTAAGTGATATTTATTAACTCTATAAATAATCTTTCTCAATACATGATTTTAATCGTAATCTTGGTAATTGCCCGTGCTTAGCACGGGCGCCCCTCGCTAGTTATATATTGATTGGAAACGGTGACTTTCTTTAAAAACCTATGAAATATGAAAGGAAGACTAAGCATCCATTAGCAAAACCTATTAAATATGAAAGAAAGCATGCCATAGTAGTCAAATAGTAGAATCCAGTTCGCAGCCCAACTTTCAGGCTATCCACATTTTGGCTAATAGGGCCAAGAAGTTTGATTCTGTTCAGTGCTGGTTGGGCAGGTCTCGTGGTTGTATTGAACCTGTTGTTTACTCTATATTTTCATAATTAATATAATTAGTTCAATTATCAAAAAAAGTTCGCAGCTCAACTTTAACTATGATCATACATTCAATGGCAGTAGCTGGGATCAAAATTATTTGGACAACTTGCACCAATATTAAAATAAAAAAACTAAATACCATGAAACGTTCTTTCATTCATATAATAAAACAAAGATATCATGGTGCACTCAAGTGAACAAATATATGAAAAACCCATTAATCCAGGCCCTGATACTTAAGGGGCAAACCGTGAGAATATCGAGGGTGGGTGATGGGATGGGGATATGGGATATAGTTTGTGTATCTCATGTAAATAGAGATATGAATAGGGTTGCTCATGAACTAGCATACAATGCATGTAAATATAATATGATAGTAGAAAACTTGAGCAACCTAGCAAATGTGGCTGTAATGACTTTATCTTAATGAATGTTTAGCCTTCTGGAAAAAAAAAAAAAGGTTTCAAGTACTCTACAGATTTTTGACTCAAGAACTCTTATTAAAAGAACAGAAACACATACACACAAGAAATGTAATGTATTGAGGGGTGTGATTCTAAAATTACCACCCAGATATACAGTTGCACCATAGCAAGCAAGTTTCGACATTGAAAATTACATCTACTTCAACACTTAATATATTGGATTTCTACACTTGAAGCTTTGCTTTTGTTCCTTGTATCATCCAAACCAAGATATGAATAGTAACGTACCTGTTTCAACTGCAGACTCTTTTTTTGTACAGCTCCTGGATCTGCGGTGAAACTTTAATGTCATCTCTGTTAGCTGCTATACAAACAATGGCAACTCTACTTTTTTTCCAGTTAAAAACGGTTGTGGTCATTTTGGCATGCCAGTTCTTCAGCCTATAAATCAATATGGTCTAAATCAGCAACCTTTGCACTAAATCTTTGAAGAACACTGAGAACATAGAAAACCAGAACTTACTTGCACAGTAAGTTGGTCTTGTTAAAAACATTTTGAGAGGAACATGATAGCTCCATTCAATCTAACTTCCGCTCTTGAATATAATGAATGGCTAGGAGAATCATCTACCTATCTTCTTTGAGAAGATGTGGCTCTGGATAGAAGATTGTGTTTCCTTCTGGCCAGACCACTGTCACTGATGCTTCCCTCAAGAAAATGATCATGGGCCTCTGAAAATTCCGTTGTCCATGAATTCATGGGAATAAGATAGCTGTCATCTTTCGAGTTCCTCTTTCGTTTCTCATGATGCTTCACATTTTCTGATATCTGATGAAAAGTTTCATTTATTTTTGCAATGCCACGTTCCACTGGCTCTACCACGTGGGAAACAGTATACTTCATGTCGTCAACAATCTAACAACACAATAGAACAAAAGAAATGAGTAAAGGTGAACAGATAAGACTTATTGATGGGAATAAGCAAAAGCTATCAAATACATAAATGGCTAGAATTGTTTACAATTTCACCACTTCCCAGGAGAACATCACGAACACTCTGTTGAAAATTCAGTTGCTTTTCTCTCCCATCATGCCGAGTGAAGCGCATCCTAGTGGACCTTTCACAGTCACGAACCTCATCTGGATCTGGAGGAGCTCCTAGTGATGCATAGTCGGCCATAACAGATACATTACGGACACATCTTTCTCCACGTTCATAAGGCTTAGCTGGGAAGACGTAAAGGTGCACCACAGCAGCAATTCCCATCTGCTTGACACAAGTATGTTGGATAATTTTAACCTCTTCAGGATTCAGATATAGGTGAAGAAATCAAACATGAAATAAGCAGAGAATGATAATGTTAAATGCAGAATGGACATGCAGTTAGAAAACTCAAAATTACAATTCTGCCACTCATAAACCAACTTAAAGAAAACTAAAAAACTAAAAAACTATTAAACTATTTAACCAATGACTCTGAAAATTTAAACAGACTAAACTATGACTAGACAACTTACAGTAATAGGCTGGCCCATATGCAATAGTTAAAATGACAAAAAAAATACCCCTGCAGTCCAAAAATACATAAAAAAAAATCCAATTTTGAATCCTCACTCCCTGAATCATCCATCCTCTAAAACAGTTTGAAGAAATTCCATTCCAATCTTGAGATATTGATTTATTTTAGTTTTTTTCTTTATAAAAGCTTCTGCATTGCAAAAATTTCAGCAGTAGACCTATTTCCTAATCAGCCATATCACCTTACACAAACCCTCATCCCTCTTCTCTAGACCTACCTCTAGTACTCCAACCCCAAATCTTGGGCCTAACCCCTTACCACCATCATGAATTTTTCAGTGTCCCTCAAATTTGTTACCAGTCCAGCCTTGGATCACATCTGTCCTACATTACACGTATTCCAATAGTTCACCCTCACAAAAATGTAAAACCAAATTACCTCTACCTATTTCTACTTATATAGTCATTTTTAGTCATATCCAACCAAGGTTTAAAGTATCGGAAATGCCAAGTGTATCGAAAAGGTAATTTTAAAAGACATCAGGATACACCTTGGATACGCATTTGTACAAGAGAAAAATTAAGATACGGAAGGTTACTAAGTACTTAAATAAATCATAAAAATGCATTAGCAAAACTAAATATAAGGTCACAATGAGGTAATACATACATTAAATTAATATATTTTAATAGGTTTTATGAAGAAATACATCATAGTCAATTATAATTTTCATTAAAAAAACCCCATGCTTAACTATAATTTATAAATTATAATTCTTAAGCTTTAAAGGATGGGAAAAGCCAAACTATCCTATCCAACCATAAACATGCATTGGCACAACTTCTAAGTGAAAATATAATTAATAATTATTTCTTATTTAAATAATTACTATCTATTTTTTAATTGAGGGTGGGCCTTGGTGCACATGGTTGGGTTGCTTCATTGCAACCTGGGTGACCAGCGTTCAAATCTTGAAAATAGCTTCTCCGTATGTGCAAGGGTAAGGCTGCATACATCTGTCCCTCCCAGACCCTGCATTGGCAAGAGCCCCATGCACTAGGCTGCCCTTTTTATCTATTTTTAATTCCTATATACAAAAAAAAAGCATCAAAAATAAATAAACATGGTAGTTGGTACAATATATTCAAAATAATTTTTTGATAAATTATATTCAAAAAGTAATTATTAAAAAGAAATTTCAATTGCTTTGTGGATATGATAGATCAACCATAGATCTACAATATATTCAATCCTTATGATTAAATCATAAAAATATAATTAATTATTATTTATTTTTTTAATTTTTAAAAATATAAAAAATGAAAAAAAATACTAAAGAAGAAATTTCAATTGCTCTATGGCTATGATAGACCATTCATAGATCTACAACATGCATAGTCTTTATGGGCAGATCACAAGAAAATATAAATAATTAATATTTATTATTTAATTACAAAAAATAATAAAAAAATATTGTACAAGAAATTTCAATTGAACTATGGATACGATAGATCATCCAGAGGTCTAAACATATTCAGTCTTTATAGGCAGATAAAAAAATACATTTTTCAATTTTTTGTTATTTTATATTTTCCCAAAAAAAAATCCACTGATCTACTCATAACACCAAAAAAACCGTGATTTTTAACAAGAAATGTAGATCAAAATAGATTTTAACATTTTCAAGCATTCAAGCAAGAAAAACATGAAATCACAAGATACTATGAGAAAATTTGAAAAGGAAAACTTATTCAGTTTTGCAATATTTTCCAAAACTTGAAAGATCTTCAAAAACCTTAATGATCCGCACTTGTTTCTTGCATTTTTTTTTTTTTTTTTTGCAGATCTAGCACTCTAGAAATGAGGTTTGGAGTTTTAGAGTCCTTTGGGGGTGAAAGAAGGCTTATTTTGGGGGGAAATAAGCCTTCTTCCCCCCACCCCCCTTTTTTGTTTTGTTTGTATCTTTTCCGCAGCATATCAACAACCAATATGCTACCAATACACCTGACACACCATCGATATGCCCGACACATGGCCAATACGAGCCGCTATGGGTACAATATGGTGGAAAAAAGACGATACCACTTATTTCCCACCATATCCCATATCGAGCCTTCAAAGATACGATACAATACACCCCATAACCAATGGATTGTGTGGAAATTTTAAACCTTGTATCCACCCTCTCAAAAGAGTTTCTGCTTTGAATAATTTAAAATAGTTAACTTCATGTTCCAGAGGAATTGGCACTTACTATTCCTCATTTTCTGTTTTCCCTAGTAACCTGTCAGGCTGTTAATACGAGTTGCCCTGACCAGCATATTCATTGATTACTGTTGAATTTTCAATAATTCCTATTATTAACAATTTTAGATAGACCACAAAAAAAAAAAACCACCAACAATAGTATTGTGTATCAATATAAACTAGGAAGGAGAAGATAATATATATTTCTTTAAATTGGCCATAGAAAACGCAAGCCAAGGGCAAGACTGATATGGTGCAGAAATGGGATTCATGTAAATGAAAGAGGGGGAAAGGGGAAAATAATGGTCCAGTCCACACCTCTATGCAGATGATATAGTCCTGAATACGAGTTTTCAACTCTTGAGCCAAAGACCCTTTAAAAACTCCCATCGAGAAAAGAAATGCAACAGCAACACCTTGCCACCAAGTAAGAAATACTATTGACTTGAATACCAGGAATTTAGCCAGAGGTTTAATCGGTTCTAGCTTCTCTTTAATAATGGAGTAGAACTGTACAAGACAATACAGAGCCCATGTCTGACTGAAATTTAGAACAACAGCTAGATACGGATAGCTGCACAAAAATATGAAGAAAACAATTTTTAGTATCAGTTTTTAAGTATGTTAGCATGTGGCACTGTTCCCTCCACAGTGAACAAATATGCTAGTAATTACACTAACGAAAAAGGTGCGGATGCAAAATTGATATAGTTTTCAAGATTGATATAAAGTAAACAATATTTTGATTAATGAAAGCTTAGAATCCGGTTATACTAACAGAAATAAAGTGAGATTGGTTTACCCATATTTCCAATCAAATTTTCCTTCTCCATAAACCCCAAAGAGTTCAAGAATTATTGCTAGCAGTGCACATATCATCTTCAGTATCATCTGAGAGACAAAGATATTTCAGTAAAATGGTTATAAAGCTCTTCAAGTCAAACAAATAGAATGACCTCCAAGGAATGTCAACAAGGCAAAAGAAGACATACATATTGGACAATGCCAACTTTTACTGCATGATAGAAATCAGGACCAAGATACCATTGCTTTAAGAAGCAATTCATTGGGAAGGGATGTTCCACAACTCGATTGTAATATGCATCTTCCAGAAGAGGTGAACTCAAAGTAATTTTGCTTGAACTTTCCATGAACTTAATGGTACTGTCCTCACCACCTTTAAGGAAAAACATTTTAATCAAAAGCAATTAGGAAAAATTCCATGAAGTTACCACGGAAATTCAAGTTGGAAGAATGAGTGAATGACATATTCAAAGATAAGTTATGAATTTTTTGCTAAGAAAGTCAAGGGGAAACAAGAATCACACATAGTAAATTTTGCCAGCCATAACACAACAGATATTTCCTTTTCTCTGCTTGCATTTTTCTCTGGCAGTAAGGATAGTATCACTGCAAGGTTACCTCTCAAAAGGGGGAAACAGTTGTTGAGAAAAGTGTGAAAAAAGATCACCTCTCAAATGGGGGAAGATTGGCTTTAATAAAGTCCTCTCTAGCAAACTTACCCACCTACTACTAGTCAGTCTTTCAATCTCCAGAAAAGGTAAAGATTAGAACTGAAAAGCTCCAAAATGCAAACCTAAGACCGTAGGGGGTCTTGACTTAGGCCATATTAAGGAGAACTTAGCTCTTCTTGGGAAGTGGTTCTGGTGTTACCCTCTTGAACCTGACACTCCTCGGACCTCTGTCATCAACAACAAATATGAAGAAAGTCAATGGTTGGGATAGCAAGGTACCCTCCAATCAAATGAAAGCCAGCAACCCCTAGAAAGGTATTTCCTCTATTTATAGCACCTTTGTTCCTTTTTGCTATAAGGTTGGGAACAGGAACAAAATCAAATTCTGGACAGACCTTTGGTGGGGAGAAAACACTTTGGCCAACTCCTATCCTAGAATCTTCCACTTTCCAAAACCAAAAGGCCAACATCATCACCTGCCTTCCTCACCTCTTGAGACCAACTACCTAAACCTAAGAAGACCCCTCAGGGAAGTAGAAATTGAAGAAGCAACAAATCTTCTATACTCTCTAAGAGAGGTCTACATCTCTTAAACCACCCCTAACCAACAAATCTAGAAACCCCACCCAGCCGGCAGGTAGAGGTCTAGGTACGATTGCGCTGCTCCAAGCACATTGAGGAGTTTATTTGGCAATGGCAACATAGAGGTCTAGGTAAAAGGGGGAAAATCTATTGGTGTATGGTGGCTCAAGCACTGATGTAGGGTGTGTGGGAAGAAAGAAACAATTGAACTTTTTAAAACAAATCTAGATCCCTTGGTGATTTGGTCTCTCACATGACTTTTATGTGCAATCTTTGGGTTCTGAATTCTTCGGAGTTTACAGGAGTCTCTTTGAATGAGCTTCAACTGAATGTGGTGGCAATCTTGTCTTCCTCCCCTGGTCACTCAAGAATTCCCAACTTTAGCATTAAAAGAGAAGACAGAGATGACTTTAAGCTTCAATGGAAGTATTCTGGGAAATCCTGGGATAGCTGGTTGGTGGTGTGTTTAGAGAAAGGAATGGTAACATTTGGTGGGCTTTCAATGGTTTACTGGAATTGTTGACTCCAATAAGGCTGAGGTCCTAGCTGTGCTTACAGGGCTGAGAATAGCAAGAGGGAAAGGTCTGACTGCTCTAGTCATCAAAGGGGATTCTGTTAACACTATAAAGTGGCTTGGGGAAAGGGACAGTAGATCTTGGAGACTAGGGGTGCTAATGGTTGGGATAACCAAACCATGGGCCTATTTTACAAACCAAACCAGTACAACCGTTTTTGGAAAACTGTGAACCAAAACCAAATGGTTAACCAGTTGATCGGATCGGTTTTTTATCAGTTCAGTTCATTCTTGGTTTTTTGATATTTATAATATATTATAAATAAATATAAAAATATATAATAAAAAATACTAGAAATACATATAATATATTATATTATAAATAATAAATAATATATTATATATTATAAATGTATATACTTTCATGTATAATGCATATGTATTCATTTATAATATATAGATAATATAAAATATATACATATATATAATATATAAATATATATATACCAGTCAGTTCGGTTAACCGGGATTTTTGGTTTGGTTTCGGCAGTTTGGTTCGGTTTTTTGGTTTTTCGATTTTTGACAACCACCCCTATTGGAGACTGGCTCACTATCTGACCAAGGCTAGAGATCTTCTGGATTCTTTCACTGTTAAAGTGCTCTAGATTCCTAGGGTGCTGGATTCTATAGCAGACAACCTAGCCAAGTCTGGTGCTCTTAGGGATGCATTATTTAGTGACAGAACTCTACCTTTGTAATCTCTGAGTTGTTTCTTGTACATCAACTCATGTACTGTTTTTGATCTTAATACAATCAGTTAACTTTTCTCTCAAAAAGAGTGGTATCACTGCATATATAAAGATACCATCTCCAGATGATCTTGCAATACAATTCAGTGTTGTCAGACTCGGACCAGATGTAAAACCATTACAGCTACTAGGTCATGGGTCAAGATTCTGATGATTCCAGTTCAACTGCTCAACCCACTCAAATGAGAATTCTGAAAAAGTAAAAAACATTAAAAAATATGGTAAATTGTCCCAGAATATCTTATAAAGCTATTTTACATCAAAATAAACTTTAAAAATAATATATTATAAGTTACTACATCTACTACCACATGTATTTGGGGTAACTTGACAATGTCAACATTTTTAATAAACTAGCCATTGGTAACTGTTTTGACTGTCAGTTCCCAGGGCAAACAGTTAGCCCATTTTATCCAATTTGAGTTTAGCAACATTGAGTCTGCCATTTCCATTTTCCACTCTACTAACCCAAATTCTGGATCATTTGTCAAGGTTGATCTGAGTTTTCAAATTAGAGATACATCTAGTAGAGCTAGATGACAGCCCAAAACCACATTTTATCTAATTTTGTTTTATTCTTTTCTATTTTATTAATTTATTCAATTATTCATTGTTTTGTTTAATAGATAAGAGATAAGATTTTTATGATGCATAACGAGACTAGCCCTCCCCCCCCCCNCCCCCCCCGGGTTGCATTTTTGACATTCAAAAGTTTTGCCTTTATGCCTCCAAAGTAACAAAAACACAAAGACAAAAAGGCAAGTAAGGTTTCTAACAAACCCAAACAAGAAAGAAACAATAAAAAGTCATGGAACATGACTACCATGATTTTTTTTTCTTTGAGAAGGAGAGAGATAGGGGAATGAAATTTCTCCATTATCATAAACTCTCACTGTACAATCTTTGAAGTTTCAGGGGCTCTATTTCTTCCACATAGTCCACAACAAATGGCAAACTGAAGGAGTTCACAAAAAACTACATGGTTCCACCCCAAGGCTCTAGGTATGGCTTCTCATTGTACATGGGCCACATTTGCATATTCAATTGCATTTGCTATTGTCAACTAATACAATAATTACCTTATCCTTGTTTTCTTTTGTTTTCTTTTTTTTTTTTTGGAAAAGGTAAAGTATATTTGTATTAACTGGAAAACAGAAGCATACAAAAGAAGTATAAAGTCCCCTGCACAAAGAGTAGTCCCTCATGTTTTCTGCTGGTGTGTTTGTGGAGCACAATACCAGAAGTTTTGGGCCTCTATTAGCAGTTCTCAGGCTTTAAATTCAGTCACTTCTGTAATCATTGAAGCAGAGAAATATGGGATGATAATTTTGCTTTTGTAATTTCAAGTCCTGTATCCAGGGGTCTCAATGTCCTGTTACATCCCTTAATGGGATGGGAGACTCTCCCTCCCTTCTATCTTCTCGGCTTTTATTATTTAATCTTCAAAAAAAATTATAAAAAAAAAACAAGAAAGCTTTGTTAAAACAGTCTAAGGGAGATAAAAAGATAGAATGAGAGAATCAAAAAGCAAGATTCCAGCACTAAAAAATATCAAAACCAACCATTGAACACAAGGCAATCCCACTACGAAAGAAGATAGTGAGGTACCTAACTATAAACAATTGCTATGGAATATTGGCACCTAATTAATGCTTGGCTCTGTGTACACCAGATGTGGAAAGGCTATCATCTATGGAACTGGATAACCTTCTCAACCAATTGAACAAGATGTTAATACTAGCCACAAGGTTCTAGACTCTTGTAATGTCTCAGAATAGAAGAAAGGTACTGATGGATGCTGTGGTTTCATTACACCAATCTTTTCAACCCAAGTCCTAGAATGAACCATTTTCCTCCATCTCTTAAAGCATGTTAAAATCATGTTTGTTGCTATCAAATTAGCAAGCAATCAGAGCAATTCTAGAGACCAACTTACTTCGTACTGTATGACAGATATCAAATTAGCAAAAAAGAATTGAGGAGGTAATGGCAAAAATAAAAGAGTTGGATGAAAAGGAGGAAGGGTGGTTTATGTCTGTTCAAGAGAAGCAGCAAGGAAGCAGGCTAGGGAAGAGTTTGGGCGGTTGTCTTAAATGATGGAAATTGCTTGGAGAGTGGAATGGCGTTCAAGGCCCCTGTGGCTCTGGGTAGGGGACAAGAACACAAATATACCCATCAGAGTAGAGATGAACTCTTTGAAGGTGAGGAAGAAGTGTCTTCAGCTGTGATTAAAATCTATGAAGCTCTTTTAATGCTAGAACCTGTCAGTGGCCTACTTTAGATGGTGTGGTTTGATCAACTCCCTGAAGGCATCTCTACCCAATTTCTTGCAATGAGCCAAATTCTTCTTTTTTTTTGCAATAATTTATTGTGGGCTGGCTTAAAGTATTGGGCCCAGACCGGGCCAGGTTACAAATAATCACCCCCACTTGCTTTACTCCAACTCACATATTGTATAAAATACATACTCCACAGGAACTGCAATTGGCCAAATTTATTGGAACTTGGAAACAGTAGATTTATTAATTAATCAAATGCACAGAGAAATTAACCCCCCCCCCAAAAAAAAATAAATAAATAAATAAATAAAACCAGAACATCCACACAGGGAACCAAAAAGGAAGTTGCTAAACAACTCCCAAAACGATGCAACTGAAAACCCAATACACCTATATGTCATTCTCAATAGATAAATCCTTTCTCTATATGCATTCTATGTTCACTCCCAATAATCCAATATCAACAGAAATTCCATAGAAAAAATAAAAGAAAAAGAGAAAGGGGAAATAGTAAGCAACTCATTTGCAAGAATGTATCATACATAGACCTGAAAAAAAGTCAACCCAACCCGGAAAAAGCGGGTTAAGGTCCCCTACCTAATAATCCAAACTAGAAGGTGGCATGACCTGACAATTGGGGACTCCCTTGGGAATTGGGGACTCCATTAGGGCAGAACTTTTAGCTGCTGTACAAGGGGTGCAATTTGCAAACCAGCTGGGGGTACAACACCTAACAATCGAGGGGTAAATAGGCTATGTGGCGTTACAAGAATGAAATGAAGAAATTTAGTTGGTTGACAAGGAATATGTTGGTCACTGTGAGTGGGTGGGGAGATCAGCAAATACTTTGTCAGATGTGTTAGCTAAGAAAGGGGTAAATAGGGAAGAATTGTTTTGGGCTCAGTTGTGATTCTTGCTTTTCTTTCCTAGTTTACTTATAAGATTCAAGGAGGGGCTGCAGCTCGCACCTCTCCCTGGGATGTTGAATGAACTCACTCTAAATCTGCTTCTGAATTAATAAATTTATTATCATTCATCAAAAAAAAGGTGGCATGACCTGACCGAAAAGATTTTGGGTCAGGCTGGGTTAGGTCATGGGTCACCTCTTTTCACACCAATGTTTTCAAACCAGCATTAACCCAGACAGTTGAACTGTTTGAACCATTCAAACTGGATGGTTAAATATGTATTTTTGGTTAAAAAACCATTGACTTGGTTAAAGACCAGCTCAACCTGACCTAGGTGGTTGAACCATTGACCCATCTAAATAGTGGATCAAACCTAACCTAAATATTTAGGGTTAGGGTCTAGCCTTTGCCAACCCAACCTGAAATGACCTGAACCCGGACCGACCCAACCAGATTGTCAGGTCTAATTATACATGTCAATGTTGATTGTGTTTGTAATCTAAAGAAATAGGGTGGCAGTAACTTGACCAGCCCCCCAACTTGTTATTTATATATGGCATTAAGAAAAAAATATACAATGACTAATCTGCCACAGACTAGTAGACAGTAAGAAACATAAAATACAGTAGAAGCCCAGGCCCATTAAGCCCAATAAGAAAAAACATAAAGAAGCAACATAACATAAACATAAGATGGCCTGCATTTCGCGTACCAACAGGCCACCAATACAATACGATATGCCCGATACAGGGCATATCGTGTCGAAATTATGAACCTTGCCACAATGTTAGGTCTCACAACAGATTGTGTGCATGTACACATTCTTTAAGTCACCAAATAATAAAAGAAATCATCCAAAAAATTAAATAGTTAGGATACAATATAAATTGCATAACTTAATTTTCTAGCCAAAATGTAGAAGAGTCAAGAGTGTTCACAATAAACAAACATCCAAGCTGAAATGTTTGATTTTGAAGTAATCCTGTAACTCAATGACAAATGCCTAGAGATAGCCAGATAAGACACAAAAAGCAACAAAAAGTTGTCTGGTTGTGATGGAATGTTTCTTACATCAAAGGAAGCATGTCCTTTGAATGCAAGTGGAAACTTCTGAATAAAATATCTTAGGATTTATCCATCTTTTGGATTCAAGACTAGTAGACAGATATCTAGAAGTTGTCATTGGTTGGATAAGAAGTGCTGCCACAAAGTACGTGGAGGTTGAGCCATTTGACTAGAGAAAGAGATCCTTGCTATTCAGATAATACCCATCATTCTGAGATCCGGTAGCTCAATGGCAAGTAATCTTTGGTACAGCATAGAGTATAAAAGAATCCAAAGGCTTGCATATGAATTCCATGTAGAAATTATATAAAGTACAATTTATAACAAGTGATAGTGATGAAACATACCTAAGCAGGCTATCAGATACCTCTCAAAGCAGTACAAAGCAAAAGCCTCATAACAGTCCCTCATCATTTCACAGATGAATGCAACTTCTGAATTTAACAACGACAAAAACTGTCACAAGAAACACTAAGAATCAGGAAAGTAATCTAAGATGTAGCAAGTCAATTTAAACCTAAACATACAATCAAACCCTGCTTTTTCTGGAGGAACCAAAAAAACACACATCTGAACATTATTAGAAAAAAATAATAATCAAAATGGTGATACTTAAGTGTCTGATGAAAAGAGGAAGGGAGCTTCTAAAAAGAGAGATTGTAGTTCACATGCCCACTGGTAATAAAGGTGGAACTTTGGAATTTTAAACTGTAAAGTTTGGAGGGACCCTTCATAACTTATTGTTCATGTATCTTGATCCTCCCATTACCATTAAAAATATAAAAAAAAAATGGGTCAGGCATATTTTACTTCAGACTTGTATCCCACACCCGATGCCCATATCAGAACAAACACAAGAGAACCCCTGGAAGATTATTTGAGCAATCTCAGGATCTTACAGGTTACAGAAAAGGATGCATAACATGGATGGAGTGAATACTGACAAGGACGTTGTAATTTAAATAAGCTTATAACTACTCATTGTAAATTGATTACAACTAAAACGAGACAATCTGGTAAAATATAAATAACTGTCTCATCATTTAGGAGCAAGGATAAAAGCTATATTGATAAAGATGTGAAAAAGCAATTACTTAAATGCAAACATTTAGCACAAAACAGTCCTGACAGATTCTGGATCCTCTACCAATATTTTCTGGGCAGAGCAATTTCTTCCCTAGTAACACATTCTAGATGTATTGCCATATGCCTAAATGATTAAAAGAAAGGACAATAAAGAAAGTACATATGGTATCCATTTATCTAGAGAAAGAACATGATATTCCTAGAAAGATAACAATAGAGGGTTTTGGAAAAGAACATAGTATCAAATAGGTTATATGAACTTAATTAAGGGCACGCATGAGGGTTCAACAACCAGTGTTAGGACACATGTAGGAGAGACATAAGAATTTCCAGATATGATGAGACTTTACAAAGACACATCACTTAGTACAAGAGGAGGTGCCATGGTGCTTGTTCTTTGCTGGTTTATGGACAAATACCTTAGAAACAAGAGGTTTTAAACAAGTAAGACTAATACTGAATTTATGCAATAAAAACTTAATGATTGGAATTCAAATTAGGGTAAACTTAGGATGGGAGACCAAAAGATAACTTAATGTAACCTCTTCCATTATCTTAGTTCAATAATCCATAACAAGGGAGAAATTGAAGAGGATGTTACTCATAGAATTAGAGTAGGTTGGGCAAAATGGAGGAGTGCATCCACAGTCTTATGTGATAGGAGAATACCATCATCATCACCTAAGCCTTGTCCAAACTATATGGGGTCAGCTACATGAATCCTGTCTCACCATTCCACTCATTGTCATACCCACCATTAAATTATGAGCACAATCATTTCTTACTACTTTGACCCAAGTCCTTTTCAGTCTACTCCAAGCTCCCTTCAACTCGTAACAAACCACTTCTTCTAACAGGTGCTGTAGATTGGTCTTCTATGTACGTGACCAAACCATCTCAATCTACTTTCCCTCATTTTATCACCTATTGGAGCTATCCTACATTCCTTCATATGACTCCATTTCTGACCCTTCACTTTCTAATTTTATCACTCATCCAAGCATATCAATTAGGCTAAAAATAAAATTATATAAAATGGCTCTAAGTCTAGCAATATTATACGGGGCAGAGTGCTGGACAATCAAAAAACATCTCCAAAGAATGCATGTGGCAGAAATGTAAATGTTGAGATGAATGATTCACTGGTTTGGTCACATGGAAGGTAACAACATCTACAACACCCGTAAAGAAGTGATCTATTGCAAGTTAAAGGAGCTAAGAGCAAACCAAAAAGGACATGGGTTGAAGTGGTAAGACTTAACAAATTATTTAAGAGCTCATAGCTTAACATATGGCACTGAACAGAACAGAATGGCAGAACAGGACTCATGTAGCTGAAAGGTTCAAAATATCGATACGCCAGTAGAGGTGTATCGGGCAGTATCGATAGCTCTTTTTTAGTTTTTCTTCGAATCTGGTTCAGAGGGGCCGGTTTAGGGTACGTCCACCCTCTGAACTGGTTGAGACCCCAAAACACCCCCTGTAGGGGCGTATCGGCTGATATGGCCTGATACATATGGATACTTTGAACCTTGAGCTGATCCCATGTAGATGGGACAAGGGCTATGATGATAAAAGGCTAGAGTAAGACAAAAGGAGAGTAGCATTGATCATACCGATTCCAATGCATAAACAGGAACCATCAGAATGAGCCCAATTAAAAACTTCTGTTCCTGAAATAAAACAGTAATCTTGTTAGAAAAGGATAAGATCAAAAAATGCAGATGAGCAGATGACTCAGCTATGCTTCACATGAAATGCACAATAGTTCAACAGTTACAATTTGAGATCACAAAAGGAAATATAATAATACAACATACTACATGAAAATGATAGAAACAGAAGCTGTAGGCTTCAATTTAACTTAAATGGACTATGAGAACAACCTCAGGCTGTTTGTATGCAGCTATGTGCTCAAATATGAGAAACAAGGAGAGAACAAGTGCAACAACTACAAAAACTGCTGCACTAAGGATTGGCCAGTTGTAGGACATATTTGACTCGACTCCAAGGTATGGTGACCACATTCTCCCTGACCGGCTTGAAGATTCAACAATAGTGACAATGAAGAATAAAAAACAGAGAACTCCCCTCCATTCCATTGAAAAGGACCTTGATAACCACGAAATTTCAACTTTATTTCAGTTTATAATAATTGAACCATGTGCAGCAATCCCAAGATGCTTTCTGAGTACTGCTTAACCATCGGAAAGATTGCTTTAGTTTACTTCAACTTTGAGATGCCATCCTTCTCCTTCCCATAAACTTGATTGTGCCTTTTTAGAAATGTCATCCTGCCAGAGGTGTACCTTAAGATACTGAATCAATGAAGAAATATTTTCAGTACCACCAAGATAGTAGTTGCACAAAAAGAACATCTTATGAAGTAATTACTAATCAAAAGAATACTACATGAAGTAATTGTCATGACATGAATCCATTGAAAACAAAATTATGATTCTATGAAATATCAAGAAAGAAGATCAGATAAAGTAACCAGCGTATTGAGAATAGAACACTTTTAGGTAATAAATAAAAAAGAAAGTTAAATTAATAAGAGATAGAGAGAGAATACAAGAAAGGTGATAACTGATAAGGCATCGCCCACAAGAAGAAACAACACTGTCCAAAAGAAACCACCAAAGAAGAAACTAAAGAACACAAATAAGAGATCCGCATGTCATTACAAAACTCCCACAACAAACCCAAAACATCACTAGACTCTACACCCCCAACAACTGACAATACGAACAAAAACAAAACTCCAACTTGAAATCTCTCAACATTTGCTTGATTATTCGGCCTCTTAGGAACCTTCAATTGGGATTCCTTTGCCCCTTTTGCAAACCTTCTTTGTTTTCTTCACCTTCTTAGTAGACCTAATACCAAATAACCCCACCCCCACCCCCCACCCCTTCAATCTGGCACTTTTGAAACCTGAACAGGATCAACAGTTCTATGGGATATTTTACTTCTAAAACGCCTAGCTGCATTAGGAATCCTCAAATACACTAATAGACCTGTATATCCTTAAAGCTGGCATTGATCCTTCCTAACTCTAAGATTGCATTCTGCTCGAAGAACTAAATGGAAACCTGATCTCTCACCTCTTTATTAACAATTCTTGCTTCTCTGATTGATCTCAAACAACCTGGATCATTTTCCATTTTACCAACAGATTCTGCACCACTTGTGCTCATAGGCATCCCATATTTCTCATCCAACTTTTTAACGAGGATAGATCACTTACCATAGTTAGAAATATAAATGGAAGATTTCAAATTCCACCAAGTTGTAATAAAAAATATGGGATCATGAAATCACCATACATCTAGCAACATAACTGATAATTATCCGACATTGAATTTGAGAAAAGCCAATAATCAATTCCCCTTCCATGGGTATGGGTAAACAACTAAAATGCAAGTTAATGTAGTTTAGAACAACACAAAGATAAAAGACCAGGACAATGGATTAAGTAGACCTCAACCAGGTTGCCTCTAAAACAGAGCAGTTGGATAATTTTTAAGCACCTAAAGAAAGTCAATGAGACAGAGATAAATGGACTTCTATCCTCAAGACAAAAATTGGGTTGTAAAGCATTTTGCAGCATACATAAGCAGTGTACTGAATCTTAAATAGTTATATTGTGCAAGGATTAAGGAACTTTATGTCTTTTGATTTTGAATAGAAATAACAAAAGATAAGTTTTGCCTATAACCAACCGTTTCTTTTTTTTCTCCTTCTTATCATTCATTTTACTTCTTAAACTTGAAATAAGCGGTGCTCTATCAGCACACTGATTTGATCCAAGACTGAACCCTCTTTTTATTAATTTAATAAGGACAAAATTGCATTACTACAACTAGAACAGGGGAAAAGTTGAATTAAATGATATACAATGGTAATAAGAAGAAAGCAATGTATTTTTTCTTTTTGGGAAGATATTCATCGCCTCTTTTGTAAAGATGTACAGATACAGTGGCAACATAACAGTTTAGGAAGTCCAGTCTTGCAACTCAAAATGGGTCAAAGATAGTAAGGCCACAAGAAGTTTTAATCCATTACAAGTTTAGACAGTTGTTATCAACGTCTCTAGAGCTTCAACTTATGAGGATGAATTCAAAACCAAGTCCAAATTTACAAACTAAACAGATCAACTAAAAATCAAACATTTCCGATAAAACCTTTCGCACATTACTTAGCCAAAGAACCAAAACGAAAGAAACAATCAAAACATTACCTTTGTCGTTGTGTTCTTGGTTTGTTGGACGTGAAGTTAACTCATTGGGGCACTATAAGTTCGTATACTAATCTTCAATAACTTCTACCAACCAAGAACCAGTTTCCCACAATCTCACAAAATGATCAACCAGACTTTGCAACCGTACAGAAGAAATCTCAAGTCCTAACTCCTAATCCTCGTGTAAATTAAGTATCAAGAGAAACGGCAAACATCAAACCCTAGAACATCAAACCATTCTTGCTTGCAGAATGAATGCCTGAAATTCCAACCAAAAATCCAAGACTAGAAACGACGATCAGATTTCTTTCGTGCACGGAAAAAAGCTCACGAGTCACAACTAACACTCAAAGGGTTTAAGTTCAGACCTACTAGTCTGCTTTTCTTTCTCCTTCCGCCAAACTGATGCTGCATTGCATCGACAGTTACGATTGACGAACCCTACATCCGGACTGCTTTGTCTGGACACGTGGCAAGTTAGAATGCAGTTGGAGCATGAGTTGACGAAAATGGATTATGACTTGTGAATTGCGGCCCATGGTCGTGATTCGTGAATTCAGGGATTGTCTTGCTTGGGGCAATGAGGAATTGAGGATGAGGCTTTGGTATAATGCTATATACTACATCGTGCTACAAATCTGCAATGCTTGAAATGATATCTGCCGTTGAGTGGATAGGAGAAGAAAAATGCGGCGTTCGATCAAATGGGATACGTGCTTGCGAAGTTATCAATTCTGATAGGTGGATCCAACCTGAACCTGGCTCAGGAGTTGTTATAGGCCTGGTCCTGGAAAGTTTGGGTGTGGATCTGATCTGACCCTAGTCGGAAATCGGAAAGGACCTTGGTTTTGGTGGGAGCCTTAGGTTGCCTGGGCCTGGTTAAAACCAACCCGAGCTAGCCTTACGTGACATGAAGGGATGGTGCGGCCCATCCCTTTAGTTAAAAGAGGGGTTTATTCTGGATAAGATAGTCCATTCCTTGGACTAATAATTCAAAGTTAAATGTGTGAGTTTAATTATGATACATTTATTAATATTATTTATATGTAAAATCTACATCTCTATCAATCAATCACGTTAAAGTTTATTTATTTTCATTAATTTATATTTCATAAGATATGCTTTTACAATTAATAAGGCATATTTATCATCATCTCCAACTGATCACAATTTTTACTGCATTTTGCATAAATTTATACAAAAAGAATGGCTTATTGCCAATATATGGAAAAGTATTTTGGGCAAAATTTGTCTCATGAATTTATACTTCCTTGGGGCTGTGTTTAATAAAAGTGCAAATGTAGAACCAAAATGAATTTACACTTCAGTTCAGTTTTGCATATATTTGATAAAAAACAAAGCATTTTTATACTGAAAATCGAAGTAAATTTTACTCCACTGTATGGGCTTCCAAAGTCGGTCATTGTAAAATAGATTGATTTCGAGTCTTAGACATTCATATTTTCTCCCATCACAACCAAGCAAGGCATTGTAAATCTATCAATGTGAAGCCACCTTTTATTTGAATAAATTTGCATTCACTTTTTTTCTCTAAATTAGATTGCAAACTCCCATTTCCAAGGAAATATAACACAACGCAAAAACTTCAAGCCAACTAGCCACTCAGGCTGTAGCAGTCAGAGCCCTGGCCCACACTGTGATTATTAGCTTGGGTTGGGCTTGGGCTGGATAGTACCAACTTATGGGAGTAGGCCCGTATTGACCCTAACCCCATTCCTATCCAACCAAGTTGCATCCCTACATCTACATGTATTTTTGCTTTCTGCTTAGACAATAATGTACTTTGTCAATAATATTGTAGCTAACGCTAGAATAATAATATGCAGTCATGAACCATTGTTAGCATAATCTAATGTAGGAAGGAAAAAAAAGGGTTTGGGCATATTTCAGGTTTAAAATGATTTTCATACAAGATTTGGAAGCAAAATATGGTCAATAGAAAAATTGTCAAAAAATATTTTAAGGGATTAATATGAGTTTTAGTACAATTGCAAACCAATATGGCGAACTGAATATATTATTTCATTTGCCACATGGCAAAGCATTATTAGATAAACTTGGTGAGTGAGTAATGTATATCCCTTCTATTATCCAACTAAGTTTTCCAATGGGAAGATCCTTGGTTGACTATCCATTTAGAGGCATCATGTGAAACCTTTGATTGCTTGTATTGGGGAAAACTCCTATACAAGGAGAAGCATAGGGCTGATGCATAGGGCTGATGTTAACTGGAGTAAACATTTGACTTATCTAGAGAGCATTCTACAGCCACAAGATTCTTCCACACGGCAAAAAAAAAAGGTGTGATTGTCTCAAGAGCTTCCCTAATATGCGTAATGAGGGAATTGAGGGAAGATCCTTTACAAGAAAAAAGGGCTAATGTCATTAATTAATCCTAGATTGCTCCATTACAACTAGGGTTTCCAAGCTTCAAATAAATAGTCTCTTTGTATACTAGTAATTATGCACATGTGTTGCATGTGAAAAATTTTTCTTCATATTAACTACTTGAATTTTAGATATATCATAGTTAAGATAGAATTTGAAAATTAACAAAAGTAACAATGTGATTAAAAATAAACTTAAATGCTTGTACCGAATAACAATATTATTATTAAATTTTTTGTTTCATTTCTATCATAAATAAAAATAACTTTTATTTTAACAATTGTTTTTATTTAATATGATGAATATATAACATTAGAAATGTTCTCAAATGTTTTTGACAAAATTCTGTATATTTTTACTTTTGGTGTTTTATCTTTTTTTAAATATTTATTATTCAATTATGACATCATGGGTTTCTTAGAAAAGTTGGATCATTGACCCACCATCTAGATAAGAAAATAGCTTTGATTTCATATTAGCTTTAGATTAGGGAAATTATAGTCAGAACTGCCTGTACATTTAAAATTAGGCTACTAGTCCAAAAATCAACAAAACTCTAACAATCGGCTCTACATTTCAAATTATAAAAACCCCTACCAGGTCATTGGAGGCTTATGTGGCTATTGCCAATATGAGACTCTTAATCCATGTTGGACACAACAAAAAGCTTATACTGAAATTGCCTTTAATGATGAGTGATTGGAAAATAAGAAAATGGTTTTTACTCGCTCGCTCGCTTGCTCTCTCTCTCTCTCTCTGTGTGCTCAATGACTGTGTGATTTAAAAATAAATAAAAATGGTTTTTGGTTTCTATGTTTACGTTCTCTCTATCAATTTCTCTCGTTTTCTTTTTACCTACCATTTTCCCTCAATCCCTTTCATTCATTTTCTCGGTCAATCTCTCCTATCATAATTTCTATCATTCTCCCTCAGTTTCTCTCACATTCCTTCTCTTGTTTTTTTTTTCTTACACATGCACTTATATAGTATTAATCAGACCGTATAAAAGAAATGAGACCAACTTAGTATAGTTCAAAAATCATCACACCAATTTGATAAAAGTTCACAAGAAACTCTTGGCTATGAAATTTACACCAACTTGATAGAAATTTATAACTTGATTGTACAAGTGGTTGGTCCCTTTAGTTATTTTATACGGTTTGATTAATATTATAAAAGTTTGTAAGAAAAATAAAAAAAGAATGAGAAAGGTAGCGGGAGAAAGACTAAAGGAGAACAATAGATATTGAGGGAGAAGGAGATATTAACCAAGAGGGAGAGTGAGGAAGAAGAATGAGAGAGAGAGAGAGAGAGAAAGAGAGAAAGAGAGAGAGAATGGAAGAGAAACAGAGGTTTTGATTTGGCTACATAAGCTAAGAAAGTGGGAGATCGAGAGATGACTGCGAGAGTGAGAGAGAAGGGGGGGGGGGAGATCGAGAGATAAAGGGAGCGAGAGAAACTAAAAACCTATTTTCGGTATAAGCTTTTTTTTTGTGTCTAACATGGATTAAGAGTCTCATGTTGTCAACAACCACATAAGCCACTGATGACATGGCAAGGGTTTTTGTAATTTGAAATGTAGAGTTGATTGTCAGAGTTTTGTTGGTTTTTGGGCCAACATACAACCTAATTTTAAATGTATAACCGACTTTTACTATAATTTTCCTTTTAAATTATATATTTCATTTACATTATATAAATAATTTTTACTTATCACACTTAATTTTTGTTTAATTTTTATTTGTCTATGATATCATTTGACCCAAACCACTAACCCACCAACCAAAAAGAAAAATACTTTGATTTCTAGGTTGACATTAAATTTTGTATTACATTTCCATCATTGAATTTTCTTTCTTATGTATAATACTTATTTTTGTTCAATATAATGAATGCATAATATTAGAGATGTACCCAATATTTTATTTTTTATAAATATATAACATTAGATATGTGCCCAAAATTTTCTCTATCTTTTTCTATTTTTGTGATTCTTTGTATTTTTTAATTTTAAAAATTTTATTATTTGACTATGACATTATTTCATTTCTAGGTAGATTTTAAATTTGGCATTCCATTTTCATCATTAATAAAAATACTTCTTACATTTCATTCTTATTTCTTTTAAATTTTTTATTATTTAATTATGGAATTATTTATTAATTCATTTGACCCCAAATGATCAAATTGCTTCCCACCACAGGGAGGGAAGAAAATGATTTTATTTTTAAATTACTTTTCAAAATATTTATTTTATACTATTAAAATTAATACTGTGGATTTAATTACAAGAATTTAATGATGAGACAAATGTATCTTAAATATAAGATTTAATGAGAGAGAATAGGAAAATATTTTTATTTCCAATTGGTTTTAAATTTTATATTCAATTTCCATCATTAAAAAAAATATTTCTTATTTATCATACTTATTATTGTTTATATGTATGTTAAAAATGTTCCCAATTTTTTTAATTTCTATTTTTTTCATTTTATCTATTTTTGAGTTTTATTATTTCATCGTGGTTTAATTTCTTACCACCACATAGATGAAAACTTTATTTTTTCTAGGTAGATTTTAAAAGTATAAGCTTTTATATTATTGGAATTATTAATTTATTAAGTATGGATTTAATTAATAGAACTTAATGATGAGAAAAAATAAAAATAACTTAAATATAAGATTCATTGAACATAAATCCAAGTTAATAAATTAAATATTATAAAATTGAATATTGGATTTATCGATAGGGAATTGAATGCATTGAATATCATAAAATTACCTATTTTCAACTCATTTAATATCAATAACCGATTACCCTATTTACCCTCACGTAAATTTTGTCCTCAAAAAAATTCCATAAATATTCTTGAGGCCATTCATGCTTTTTAAAGTAGTATAGATTTGCAAGGGTTATGGTTGTGCACATTTATTCCTCTTCAGACCCCGCTTTGGTGGGAGCCTTGTGCACTAGGCTGCCATTTATATGTCATTAATCAATCTCTTCCAATTTATGATTTAGCTAACTAATTGGCTACATATACAACTAAGAACCTTCGATATCCATTTAAAAAGAAAAAAAGTAATTTTTTATCTCATTAAGGTACCAAGATTTTATCCAATGTTTTAAAAATCAACCCAAAAGTGAAACCACTTTTCCTTCTAGTTTCTGGGCCAGTGGTTCA